TAGAATTTCAAAAACTGATAAAGCACAATTTAATTTTGATTTAAAAAAATCTAAGTATAGTTTTATCATGTAAAAACATAAAATATATAAAAAATCTCAGTTTTGATATTTTTGTTGCTTGAATTGATTTTTTTTTTATTGCCCGGAAATACTGTACCGAATATATAATTTAATGAATTTCTCCATTCTTGATACACTTTTATTCGTACTGAGATATGCTGATTTCGTGAAAAAATTGCGTTCAGGTAATCTCTTAGTGCATGCCTCAGCAGTTCAGATGATAATTAATAAGACTTAGGATAGATTTAATAAGACTCCTGAGAGGAATAAATGTACAATAAATTCCTTGGCAGAAGTAAATTTTGACTATCTTGAGTTGTCACAACCAATAGCATCACGTCATATGATACTTAATTTATTTAAACTTTATTTTGAAGGGATGAACTTCTAAATAAATGTTTTGATTTAACTAATAACTTAATGGCATCAGAAAGTGCAAAAATTATTAAATAAATAAAAAATTCGAAGGATATTGAAGAAATTTTTTTTATAGCAGTATGTGTTTTTCAGTTCAATGCTTAATTTTCTAGTAATAATTATAATACCACTTTATTTCATATTTACTTCTCCCCTTTCGACCAATGGGTATTCAACTAGTATTTCAGCTAATATAGTTTAATTAGTAAATAAATAATTCAGTACATAAAATATTACATGACTTTATACAATAAAATATAACGTTGGTCCTGGAGTATTCAGGTATTCATACTAGTATTTCAGCTAATATTTGGATTAACATACGTATTTTAATTGTTAAGACATTTGTGAATTGTGACCCAACGTAGAGGAAGACCTTCAATGTTTTGATGACTTTGAAAATGATTTCATTACTCTTCCATATTCTTAAACTGGAAGGCAATTAAGAAAAGATACTTGGAGTGTTCACATGGGAAAAGCTTTGCCCCAAAAGGGGCTGTCGAGCCAGGAATGGTGATGATAACATCGTTCCAACTAGCTACAGTTTAAAAAGAAGCCTGCCCTAATGCATAAGAATTAAAGTGTTTAGGGCGATATTATCACAAACTATTTCACCAAAATTGTTTAAGAGACCGTGTCATGTGAAAAATATCACAACTCCCACAAGGGAAAAACGTTTTTTTGTGTATTGTGCAATTACGCATTGAAATTTTCATCCCGTATGGAGACAATATTAAGGAGACGTTTCATGTAACAATGTTTTGATAGATTACCCTAATCCCTTTAATTACTGATAGAGTTAACTTCAATGAGATATAAATTTGCTCGCATAATTTGACTTCAAAACATCAAATTTTATTTATTAATGCATTTATCCTCATGAAATAGATAGAAATTAAAATTCGCACGTATGTAGTTTTTCATTTTATTAATAGAGATTATACTTAACTAATAGCATACTTTATTATTTCTTTTAAATAATTCTAATAAAAAAAAAGAGAATGAAATTGAGAAAATTAAAAAAAATGTTTTCAATACATGACAAGAGGCTACCCAGCATCTGATAAGAGATACCCAGCATTTTATGTAATTAATTTCTTATTGAAAAAAGTTTTTACAGTTTTCCCTTTGCATAAATGAATTTACAAAAAAGACGTTTTCTCATTTCTTGGTATTTAAATTTCATTGATCGTGTGCCAAGTGTTAATAATTTATAATTATGCATAAATCCATCATTAATAATTAGTAGAAAATGTGTTGACTAACGGTACATTTATGGTTCTCTAAGGCTTTTAGTATAGGTCAGTAACTCACAAGAATTTCGTTTTAAACAATTTCCCGTCAATTTCTTTATAAAATATAAAGCTAATTAATTCCTTAAGTTAAAATAATGAAAACTTCTTTTGAAGTTTGAAAAGAAAATAATTCATAAATTATCATTTGAATTTTCCTTTGTAAAGTAAATGTTTAGTCACCATTAAATAATTTGTTTTCTGAGGAATTGCAGTGAATAGTAATGTTTTAGGGAGATGCTTATTTTCATTAACAACATATTTTCTCGGGTTGAAAATCCGCTGTGATGGAAAAATTTTACTTTTTGATCTAATTAAGTAAAGATTTTAATCCACTTAATATCGTTTAAAGCGTCTTTGTATATTTCTATGGCAACAGCGTCCTCCCTCATCTGTCTTCTTATCGCCCAGATATCCATTGTTTTGAATGAAAGAACTCACTAGATATTCGATTGGAAAACACGAATAACACCAGCAGCATTCCAAATAAATTAACAAATCTTCCTGTAGAAATTAATAAACAAGGAAATAATTGCATACACCGAGAATAATTTCCCAAATTTTCTGTTATAAATGAAATTCTGCTTTGCATAGAGTTCGTCTGGAAATTGTAGATCGGTAATTGACAAATTAGTTATCCTATGTTAACATGTTAAAAGTTCAATTTTAAGAATAATTGTTTACATTAATTTTGAATTTTGTTTCGTTATAACAGAATGCATAATTTTCTCATTTTCAAGTAATAAAGAATATTATTAGCCTAAAGAACGTGCAACGCATGCGTTAAGTAGGCATTAGGACTGTTTAAAGTTGAATGAAAATTGTGAAGATTCCCTAAAGCACGTTAAAATAGGTGACATCGTTAAAAAGCAAATTGCTTAATTCAATGAAATTACATTATAGTTTTTTATAAATTTTGCAAGTTTAAATTATGAGATATTAATGTCAAGAGAACGGTTGTCATCGAATACTAATATAAAAAATTTTTTCTTGCAACACTATTTTAAAAACGCATTAGTCTTTTTGTCTATTTTTGTATTGAAGATGACGGAATGATAGGAAACAGTTTTGTTTCTTTCATTTTAGGAGTTTGATGTTCCAACTCATGAAAAATAAATTGTCTGTGTGCTTTTTATTCTGGACACAGCTCGAAATGCGCTTTAAATAAAAAGGAGAAAAGCTCTAAATGCGTGTTGAAGAAAATGGACATAGAATTTTATTCCACTTTTGAAACTTCTCTGTATGAAAACTGTTCTTTTTTTTCAAAGGAATAAACTAATGGATTCAAATAAATTTGTAATTCGAGGTCATGCATTAGTGATCAGTTGTTTTTATATGCTTGTCACGGGTGCCATAAATTAATAATAGTGATATTAAATTGACGTTATACGAATTTGGATTTACTTAAAAAGATACTTTACTTTTCTGTGAAGCCTGGTAAGTTTATACCGAATCATCCCGATCCCGAAATGCGGAACTTTACACCGTAATGATGTTTTGTATTTAAATAAGTAGGGAAGTTCCTCGCTTTGTCGTTTAATTATTGTTGAAAAGGCAACTTTTTAGTTTACATTAGTTCATTTTCTTTTACACATACATTTTAAACTATGTCCAGAAAAGAAATTTTAAGAAAAAAATTGAGCTTTTTTTTGCAATGTTACTAAATCGCTACTAAGAAGGAAAATTTTTTTTTCTTTCTTTTAAAACTTTTTTGCTTTCGGAATCTGCACTTGTAAAAGTTCTTTTAATTAACTGAAAGTCGTTTTTGTAGCACAAACAAATGTTGTTTTCCTGAGAAAATATTAAATCAATTATCAAAACCTATTCCTTTTTCAAACCTCTTCTTATAGGAATATGGTACAATATTTGTCTTTTTACTTTTAACATGCACTCTTTTTTAAAGTTTTCAGATGTTTATTTCAGATGTTTACGTTAGAACTTACGTTTTTACAATCGAATTTTGGATCTTTAATATTAAAGTCATTTAAAAAAAAATTAACCCTTGAATGTGACAAAAGAACATAAAACTAATTTTTCCCTATTAGTTTATAATTTTAAAGGAAATGACATGAACAATTGCATTGAAATATATATAATAATTTAACAAAATAATGAAATAATTTAGTTTTATCAAACATAAGAGCAAAATTTTTTCAGGTATATTAAAAAAATATTTTTTACTATTAGTACTTCATCATGACTTGTAAAATTAAAGCTAATACTCTAACTTTATATTTTGGTACTGTTCTCGTTTGCTATTGATAATAACCCCAATTCATTGTCATTAGTTTTAATTAACTAAATTTAGAAAGAAAATCCTTTCGGAAATCTTTAGCTATTCATCTGATAAATTTCCATAATGAAAAAGTTTTGTTTTTATTATTTTTGGCTACATCTCTTACCTAGCATTTGAAATCATTTGCTTTTAACCTATTGATGCGTTTAATACAAAGTTATAAATGCATTGAATTGGCTCATTATAATTGTTATCTTTTAAATGAACATAAGCGTATCAGATAATTATTTTATAGCACATGAACTACATTATTTAACAGTGAATAATGGCTTTATATTTTCGATGTTATCATCCTATAATCATAAGTTTTATGTATTTTTAAACATCGATCAAAAAGTTAAATAATTTATTTACGAATGAATGAAAAAATAGGTATCTATGGTTCTTAACGTAAACATTTTTACATCTATGAATTAGAGTCTATGAATTTGCCACATATCTTTGATTTGTGAATTTTGGTTGTTTCTTTGCTTTAAGAGCACTAACGCATTCCTTGGTTTTCATGCATACTTTATAAAATAGTTTGTAAGGGGAAGTTATTTCAAAGTATACAAATATTTTTTTAGATTTATTATGATCAAGAAAAATAAATTTTTGAATTCTTTGACTTGGCTTTGCGTTATCCATCAAGAACAATAAATATTTCACATGAAGAATTAGAATTTATGTACCTACAGCTAATCTCCATGAAATAAATGAAACTGTATAATATTAAATTAGTTTTACTTCTCACTTCTGCAGCTAATAAAAACTTCAAAATTAACCTTAAAATCTTGAAGTCTTGTGATTTGAAAAACCATTTTCGAGAACTTTATTTTAGCATTACTTTCGCATTGAATTATCGGCATATTTTATAACTTTTTCTATAAGTTTATAGCTTTATATCATATATTTGATATGCATTTTTGTGTAAATCTCTATTTTTGTTATTTCAGATGAAGAGCTGACGTGTAATGTTTGCGAACGTTCCTTCAACAGTGTGCGGAAGTTAGAGCAGCATCAGCAAAGAAAACGTCACTATGGTTGTTCGATATGTGACTCTATATTTCCAGGACTCATGGCGCTAGAACTGCACAAAGAAACCCTTGACCACTGGTCTGATTATGAGCTGAGAGTAAAGCAGGTCCACGAAGAAGATAAAGAATCGGATTCCGAAGAGGAGCTTGAAGAACACAGAGTCTACAGTGGAAGAACACGAGACGAATTGAGGAGACTTCTTCTCTGATGGTGTCGATTCTGCTGCCGTATATTTAAGCCCAGGCAGCAGGAATACAATCTACAGTTGTGACACCACCAAAACATTTACAGAAAAAGTAGCTTCTGAAAATTGAAAGTACTCACTGTGATTTTCTATAAAAGTCTGCTTTGAATGTTAAATGTAAACGATGCAGTTTGGCTGATGTGTTTTCATTTCATATTGTAGATGAATGATCTGTAGATTGATCCCCACTCTTGCTCAGTATTCATTTTTGTTTTTTTAAATAAAAATTTCGCATGTCATACGTAGGTGCAATCAGAATTTAGAAAAAATTAGTTGTTATGGCTTAAATCACATGTGTAGTAATTAATAGCGAAACAGAATCTGTTTCCTCACCAAATTCTCCAAGAAAACCTAAAATTAGATACATTGGATAATATCATACTTATGGATCGATTTTCTGAAGGTTAATGGTTTAATAGATCTTCTCTGATTTCATCAGACAGTTGGAGGAAAAACTACAACAATAACTTATGGTTAAAGTAATAGCTATAAATTTCTATGAAGTTTTACGAAAAGCTGAATTTAATCTTGAATTTAACCATGAATTTTTTCAATGAATCTTTGTTTTGATATAAACTATTTATCAATTGTAAAGGACCAAGATGTCAATATCATCACGTTAAATATAAAGAAGATTTATAAAAAGTGACTATATAAAGGACATAAATTATAGGAAATAACTTTTTAAGACATTGGTCGGTATCTTTTGAACTTTTCCCCATAGTCTTGCTGAAATTTTATGTACTATACAATTCTGACTAAAGTATATTTGATAATGACCACTGATCATATAAAGCGGTTGCCAATCTTTTGATCCTCAAGGACCATCACCTCATTCTTTTTTTTTTGGGGGGGGGGAGGAAGCGTAAAAATTCTCAACTATTCAAAGGGGTTTCTTTTTAAATATATATCAACAAAATAAAATTCATGGGTTTCGATAAATTTTAATATTGTTTCAATTAAAAAATTATTCAAGGTGGTCAGTTTTCAAATAAACATGTGGGAATATTTCACATGACGACCAAGGAGGAGAAAGAAGAGTTTACTTAATAATTACTATAAAAGTAATCATTTGGACTTCATATTAGGGGGACTGACATTACCGGATACAAAACTCTTCCACCAGCCAAATCATTACATCTTTGCAATACGATAAGAAGACTTCGTTAGAAAATTACAGTGAGTGTATTCGTGATTTAGACTGACTGAATTTTGCCAACCCTTAAACTAGAAGAATAATTTTTAGCAAGATATGGGTTTTTTGGAATTTGTAACTTTTGTATCAAACTTTAGGACAACATTAGTTGAATAAACCAACCTACAAAACAAACGAAAGTGATAATACTTAAGATGAATGGACTGCAACTGATTATATGAAGGCTTATTTTTTAAAATGCATATGAACTTTGCCTTATTACAAGAAAAAAAATCAATGTTAACTTGAAGGCTTATGGACAATTTAGATATTCAAAAAATTATAAACTTTTCAACTCAATGTATCTCCTGATTTTTTAGTTAAAATATCTGTGAATTAAAGATAATATATATTAATTCTTGAACTAGAATAAGTAAAAATTTTATGCTATAATTATTAACATACTGGTTTGAGTAAAAGTTTTTAATTATGAGCCCTATATATTACAAAAAGAAATCATTAATCTCTTAATTAAACTTAAAATTAATATTTTTTTCGTAAAAAATTCCAGTTTAAATTCTAACGGTTGTAGCACTTAATATATCAATAAATAATATTATATATTTGTTATCCAAGCTAATAATTTTTATTTATTGATTCTATGTTAAGTGTGTGAATCGATGTAAGTTATTGAGTGATTTGAGTTATTAATATAAGTTATTAATTGAGTGAGTGATAATTTATTCAAATTTTTTAAAATATTCAATATATTGAAAATGGTTTAGAATGTAATGTATATGTAAAGTAAATTTTTACGTAACCGTTTAAAAAGTTTTGTTTTCATTATTTCAGTTTTCCTAAAGCATTTAAAAATTTACCTCTAGAAATTGAAATTTAGAAAAACAATATATTTACTCAAAAACTATTTATTGTATACAGAAACGTGTTCTAAGAAAAAGAATTTTTTTAAATATAATTGTTTAAAATATAATTAAAAGTTATTTTTCTTCCGATTAATTTTTTAAACAAAAATGTAGTATAATTCATTTAAATATAAAAAAAATAAGATTAATTGCAGGGAATATAGAGAAAAAACTAAGAATTTCAAACAATGCTTTTTTTTTATCCATAATATAAATTATTTTTCTCGATATGTATGATTGAACATTTATTTTACACACCAAATTAATAAAATAAACTCGTCTTTTATAGTTTAATTTGATGGAAAACGTCTAACATTGAAGTGAGTAATTGAAAAATGAGCTCATATAAAAATAAGTTTTGATAGTATTAAAAGAGCAAGGATTAAAAAGCGATAATAAAAGAAAGTGCAAAACATAATGGTCTGCAAGAGTGGATGAAAATTGGATAAAATAAAATGGTGCGACCTAATTCAAAAAGTGCGGTTATATAAGGTTAAAGAACTGAATAAATTAGAAATGCTTTAGCCCATAAACTCCCAACATTAACTCTTATCAAACATTTCACTGACATCTCATTATACGTATAGCAAAACTCTAATACATCGGTAAATTTGTAGGTTTTAGTTTAAAACCTTCTCCGTTTAGTGATAAAGTTACTATCATAGCTTTGCTATATTCATGACATTTTGCCAACTGAGACTCGATTTTACAATTCTTGTATCTCACAAAATTCATCAGCTCATAAGTTTAATGGCATAAATGTTTTCTTCTAATGAAAAAAATTAGTTGAGATCTGGAAGTTTTAATTGAAAACGTTTTTACAAAGCGTGATTTTTTTTCCTTAAATGTATTTTAAAAACAAGTGTCTATCGTAATAAGGGCAGTAAAAATGTGTATGAGTTGTCACAATGAGTAAGGCGTTTTCCGTCAAAATTCACCAATAGAGCGCATTTTCATTTTTTTTAAACAAAAATGTTTTTAGAGAGACAAAGATTGAGCGAATAATAACTAGTTTAGAAAAATACTATGACTACAAAATATAGATATCTCGAAACATGGCATAGCATATAAGTGCCCTAAATTACTCAAAAGCTCCCAGAAACTTAGAAATATAGTTATAAATTTCTAAAAAAAAATAAATATTATTTTTCGCAAATAATCTATTAAAAATAAATAGGACTTTAAACTAGCTTCAGAAATATAGCTTGGAATAGACGAAATTTATTTTCCAACAAACCGTTTTTAAATATATTTTAAATTAACCTTCATAATAATCAATGATAACTATGAGCTATATACAAGGAATAGAGATTATGAGTTTAAATATCTTAATACATAAAATTAATGCACTGTATCGTAGGTCTGCATTATCATGAGATGCACCAATTATTTTACATCATACTTTGTTTTTATGACGTAACATGTATGTAAATGGAAAATATTTGTAAATAAACTTACTACATCATCATTTAATTGTTTTATTAAGTATTTGAATATAGACAATTTTCATATAAACTGACTCCATATCACTTATTTGGTGAAACTATGACGTAGCTGCAAAATCAAGTAACGTCATTGTTTCACCTTTGAAAAACATCGACCAATAGCAAAAAAGGATAAATTCGGATTAATTTTTTATTTATTTATTCATTTCATTTTTCATTATTTTTTTAACATCTCTTTCGATATTTTAGCGGGAATAGAGTGTTCTATATATCGCTCATTTGGTGAAACAATGACGTAACTTGATTTTGCAGTTACGTCATTGTTTCACCAAATGAGCGATAGAAAAAATATTATTTTTCCTTTGAAAAACATCGACCAATGGCAAAAAAAGGATAAATTCGGATTAATTTCTTATTTATTTATTTATTTTATTTTTCATTTTTTTTTAACATCTCTTTCGATATTTTAGCGGGAATAGAGTGTTCTATATATCGCTCATTTGGTGAAGCAATGACGTAACTTGATTTTGCAGTTATCCTACGATACTTGATCAGCTCATTGTTTCACCAAATGAGCGATATAAACATACTTAATATCTCCACATAAAAACGTTTGGTTCGGTAAATCTTATTTTGTATTTCCCTCGTGCAAGTTTATCGATGTCATTTCAATTTGTAATGGTGTAAACAACTTGCAAAAAAATAAAAGAAACCCCCAAAATGACTTTAGATCAGATTTTCGTGTAATAAGACTCAAAATTAATGGTTCAAGGGAGTGACTTAAAATATGCTAATTATTTTCTGCCGATGGCATTTTAAGCTACGAAAAGAGAGAAAAAACGGATTGTCTCTGAATAAGTATACCTTTTTCCAGACAGATTTGGATTTCTGACTTGCAAAATATCGAAGGTAGCCGCAGTCTGAGTAATATGATCCCATTGTTTGGTCAGGAGAAAAATTTAAAATTTTGTTTTTAATTTAAAACTAGTTAGCATCGTTAAGATTTTGTATGTTGCATGCAAAATTGCAATTTTTAAATTGTGTAAAATATTGCATGTCATGCAATTTAAAATTTATTCAACTGTTATCAAATATAAAAAGAAATGATTAAAAATTATTTTTTGCACGGAATTAACTTTTGGCAAACGTATCTCATAGTTGCAAGCAAATATTTTTCAATTCGTCTTAAAATTTCTCGAGATGTAGGAAAATATGCAAAAGATAAAAAGAGTAAAAGTAAGGGGACCAAACTTTCGACCGCATTTGACCCCACTACTGGGACTGCATTTTCCAAATTGTTTTTAGGGTAAGAAATCCAAATTCAACTAAAAAAAGAATTTATCCAGAAAAAGTTTTTTTTTGTGTAAGATTTCGTAACTTAAAATATCATTTGCACTAATTAATTAGCATATTTGAGGTTACCCCCTCAGATCAATAAGTTTGATTATTAGTACGAGAAAATCCGATCATTTGATCAAAAGTTATTCAAGCTGTTTCTTTTCCCCCCTGTATCTTTTGCCTTGTTTATTACGTGCTGTGGGGTCAAATAGTTCAGTATTTCGGGGAAAATAACTTAAATATTTTTTGTTCTGCAATAACATATTGAAAGCAAGCAATTGATTCTAGTTACAAACGTTTAGTTGTACCTTTGTAAAGTGATTGTGACAGGCATTAAAATTTCTATAACATTTTATCATTAAATTTCTTTTTACTAAAGGAAAACTCAAATAATATTTAA